CCGTAGTACCCGGTATCTGAAGGCTGTTAGGGTATCTCAATATCACCCTAATCTCCCCAATACAGAGAGATGTAGTCTTTATGACAGAATTCTGGTCCCACTATAATCACACTTTACAAACCCCCAATATCTTTGTTTAGGATCAGAATATTTTGAAGTTACCTTCAATTGCCCTTAGACTTACTCCAACCTTCAAGTCATTATCTGTGTGATTGGAGTGCATACTGCTATATTCCAAAAGTACAGCTCCTTTCACATTTCACAGAAACTGATTGCTTTCAGGCTGTACAGTTCTGTGATAAACCTTCCACCATCTTGGGTTGCACACCAAAACACCATCACTGTCAAGTGCTGCCAACCCTAAACCGCTTGCAATGGCCATATTTTGTGGGCCAATCTCATATGCCACTTTACTTTTTCTTGTGGCTACCTCAAAACTTAATCACTAACAATCACTCATCATTCTTTTTACCTATTTTGAGATTGGAATCGCTTTACCCACACTCAACAAAATTCTATGCCACTTGCAATGATTTATTAGTGGAGTCACAGCATGATTCAAAACTTTGGGCAGTATCCCCAAACTCTTTGCCCAAAATTGGCACTTGCTGTGCCCCTCAATGCACTCTTCACCAATCTATTCAAAATTAAGTGATTCACCCCCTTTTGATTATGGGACTGACCACTTATATAGATTGTCCCTGGAAAATTCCTTTGTTTCTATCTTTGAAATCCCATGTTCATTCATAGCTCACTTCACAGCACACACAGCGCACACACAGCACATCCGCACAGCACAGCTGCGCAGCACAGCACAGCCGCGCAGCACAGCTGCATAGCCCAGCTGCACAGCCCAGCTGCACAGCCCAGCTGCACAGCCCAGCACAGCTCACAGCACAGCTGCACAGCACAGCACGTAGTTCCCACCCACGCTGTCACGGTCCCGGCACTGGTTCAGGCGTCCTCACACTCCCCAAATCCCACAGTACTTTGGCCTTTCAGTTAGCCGCAGTACATTGGCAGAATACAAGGCCCAATGCCGCGGACCACAGCCTTTCACACACAATCCATCAAATTCCAGTCAACCAATCAACAGCCCTTTGATTGGACAGTAAGGGCGTCCCCCCCTGTCTCACAGGTCACCGGTCTGCCCTGTACGGCAACCCGGTCCGACTCAGCCCCCCACCTCTCTCCGCCAGTCCGACTGGCGCTCCGCGGAGTTGCTGGGCCGCCTGCGGGCCTCCTGGCTCGGTGGGAACCCGGCGCGCTGCCCGGGAACGGCTCCCCCTCGGTCTCTCTGGCCGCAGAGTCACTCCAGCGGCGTGGGCCTCGTTGTGGACCGCCCACGCCGTTCCTCTCGACGATCCATCGGCGCAGGCCGCGCTCGCCCGGCCGCGCCTCGCGGCATCCACTTTTTCCGGTCGCGAATGGAGCCCGGCGCCTTGCCCCAGAACGGCTCCATTCAGGCGCATCGGTTGCGCCGTTAATCTGCCGGCGGAGGCCACGCGAGTGGCCATTGATTCCGCGCGTCTCGAAGCTCCGCCGGCGCAGGCCACGTTCGTGTGGCCGCGCCGCGCCGCGTTGTAGATCCGGGCTCGGATGGAGCCCGCCGGTGCCCGGCTTCGGGTCCCCTCGATCGCGCCGGCCGCAACGTTGCTCTGCCGGTGTGGGCCTCGTTGGAGTCGGCCCACACCTCGCCTTTGGTCGCTCGATTGGCGCCGGCCATCGTTGAATGGCCGCGCCGCGCCGCGTTGGTGCACCGGGCTCGGATGGAGCCCGCCGGTGCCCGGCTTCGATTCCCCATGGTCGCGCTGGCCGTGACGCTGCTCCGCCGATGTGGGCCTCGTTGGAGACGGCCCACACCTCGCCTTTGAACGCTCCAATGGCGCAGACCATCTTCGAATGGTCGCGCAGCTCCGCGTTGGTGCACCGGGCTCGGATGGAGCCCGGCTCCCGGCTTCGAAGCTGCTCCATTCCCCTCTTTTTCCTCCGCGCCGTAGCCTCCAATCCACGCGTTGTTTTGCAGAACCAACGGCCGTCGTTTGGCCGTTTGCGCCAGCTTTTAATCCTCCAGAATCCGCCCGATTCCGCTGTCGCCAGCGGTCGGACGGGGACGGTTGCGCCTTCCAAGGCGCTGCTCTTTCCACACGGCTCCTTCGGCATTGCAGCGCCGATTCTCGGCTCCCTGCCACACTGCCCCGTTGGGCATGCTGTGGCTGCTCCTTGGGACTTGATCCCCTTGTTCGATGGAGCTGCATGGCCGCCGAACGACGGGCCATGCTCGCGGGTCGCCGAAATGCACTTTTCGTGCATTCGCACCTCCGTCCGCCTTACTCGCTCCTTGCTGGCTTCATGGCCACCCTCCAGCGCTGGGGATCCTCCTCGCAACGGGCCGCGACGTTCCCCCGCGGTCCGCGCGTTGTCTCTTCCGATTAAGCCGATTGCCCGGCCGTTGGGCACCGTTTTCCTCCGCCGAATAATGCGCCTCCTCCGCGCCATCTCGCAGCTAGCTGCGCCGTTGTTTGCAGTCGAAAAGAACTCCTCCTCCACGCAGCCGTTTCCATGGCCTCAGGGGCCGTTCGCTCTTGTGCTCTCGAGTCAATTCACGCAGTCATCGGTGCAATTCCCCTCGCAGTGGGGCTGCGCCTAGGCGTCATCCTCCGGGATCCAAAGACGAAAATCAATGCGCCCCACTTCTTGGGCGGCGCCGAATACACTCTCCGTTGCCGGCCTTCAACGCTTCCGGCCTTGCCTTGCTCCGAAACCACTTGACGTGGTTTTGTTCGTTGGAGCCGGCACGCGCCTGCCGTCGCCCGGTCCACCCCTTACGGGTGACCTCGGATCTCCGCCCGATGGCGTGCAGATCCGGCATAATCAGGGCGCATGCTTCTTCGGAGTACGCAGCAGGGCCCGGGGCCGCGGGGTCGCAAGGCCTGCGTCCTTCAGCCGGTGGCAGCAACGGTCATGAGACAGCGGGGGCGCGCGGTCGCCCCCGCGGGAGTCGGCAGTGAGCCAGGAACAACAATTACAGTCAGACAGTTCGCCCCCTACATCCAAATACCCGTCCGACCGTCACACCTCCGAGTGTGCTAGTATATAAAGACACGACCACAATGCACTGTACAAAATAGGCCTCCGGTCACCACCAAACAGCTCCAAAACTCCCCGTACTCGGCCCCCATCATCCAGGCTGCAGTACCTAAAGTTCTGCACCTTTAAGTCACCCATAAATCAGCATATTTAGACAATAAAGGCGAAGAGGTAAATCAAACTATCATACTATAAATATAGAGCTGTACACCATCATCTAAAGATAATGAGAGAAAGAAATGGTCTACTGCGCCTACCCCAAGTGTTTCCACAACATCCGATCTCCCTCACTGGATCTGAGGTCTTAGCCTTTCGGCCTGTTTGCGAACCCGTCCGATCTCTCGGTTCGGTCTCACCTGGCAATGGGCTTTTTCTTTTTGCCCATGGCTTGCCGGCTGTCTTCCAATCGCCCTCGGCTTTTGGAATTTTTGGCATCGGTTGTCCAATCGGACTGGGGGTTCTTTCGGCCTGTTTCGCGGGCTAGGCGATTTTCTCCTCCGCCTCTCTCGCCCGCATCTTCTGCTTCAACAGCCGGTCGCTCAATGCGGCAACCTGTTGTTCAGCTGATGTCTTCGCCTCCGCAGCCTGGCGACTGGCCTCCTTGGCCTTCTTCAAGGCAACTTCATGCCGCCTGGCCTCCTTCTGCGCAGAGGCCGCCGCGATCTCCAGCTTGGCGATCCGGACAGCGGTCTCTTTGTCGCGCGTCTCCTGGGCCCGCGAAGCCGCCGCGGCCGCCATTTGCTCCAGGAGCTCCATTATGCCCGGTGCCTGAAGAAGGGCCGCCATGGTACCCGGCTCCGCCGCCTCCTCTTCTTGGGGCACTTCCGCCTCGGTCATTGGGTGGTCAGGCTCCTCTGGCTCCGCTTATCCCGATGATGCACCGGCTATGTCCTTTCGGACTTCTTCCTGCTCTTGCCCATTTCGGGCTCTAGTTCCCTCACCGGCTGAACTTGCCAAGGTCCCCTGTCGGGGTGATTCCTCTCCCATTTCGGGTGTGCCCTGTCGGGTTGTAGGGTCCGTTTCCTCAGCCTCCATGGAGGAGGCCGGGGAAGAAGCCCCGTTGCTTCTGCTTCCGCGCGCTCCGAGTCGAAAGCGTGGTCGCCACCCCCAGGTGGCTCCGAAACCAAATGATACGAGAAGATTTTGGGTGTGGGGCTCCTGCCCTCTTTGAGCCGCGGACCCGCCTCGCAGGGCACCTAGGTCCTTACGGGGACCTAGGCGGGACCACCCCTCCTACTCCCGTATCCTAATACCTAGAGCGGTTACGGTGGGTTGAGGATAAGTTATCTTGGGCAGGGCGTCCCCCACACCAAGGGCCGTTAGTAAGGCGTCCCCTACATCAGGCCGCTGCGCGTAACAGGCTGTGTTGTATCTTTTCAAGGCCAATTAATGAATTTTGAAGAATTTGTTGCAAAGTCTATTTGGCCAAAAACTTTTGGGGCACTTGAAGTGTCTCTCAAGGGCTTCCGCGCCCTGACTCCAACAACGACCCTAGGAACAAAATGTAAAGTCCGTTGTGCGATCCACAGAATTGAGGAAAAACTCAATAATAACTTGTTCATTTGCTGGATTCATATGTTCTCTATTGGTCGTCTGTTCGACTATAGATTAGGGATCAAAGACTCGTCATGCAATAAACCACCTGCATGGGCAAATTGGCTGGAAACAGCCTTAATGGAAGGGTTGGCCTGAGAAGTGGTCCCTCAACTGAGCATAAGCGGATCAAATGTTTGAAAAGTGCGGAACCGCCAGCATTCCCCTTCCGTGGACACTTGGCCCTGGCCACCCCCACCCCGCCCAAAAAACACAGGAAAAAAATCGTTCTAGAAACTGCGCTGTCCACCTGGCACAAAAACCTCCGGAGGCCCGCGCACCACCTGTCGCAGCGCGAGGCTGGGCGCACCACCGGCATGGCAAACCCCGTCGTGTTTTTCGATGTCGAGGCCGGCGGCTCGCCGCTGGGCCGCATAGAGATGGAGGTCAGTGGCTGGCCGCCCGTCCCCCGCCTGGGTCCCCTTCGCCAGACCGCGGAAATCGGCGGAGGTCTCACACCGTTGCGGCGCCTGTAGTGCCGGTTGGGCCCCGTCGGCAGGCTGCGTGCCCAAGCCTGCGGCCCCAGATCTCGGCCCCCACCGGCGAGTGCGGAACCGCGAGGGCGCAATGCCGTGCGGTGGGGAGGCTCGCGACGCGCGGCGCGATCCCGCGCGCGTCGCCGGCGGCCAAATCCGTCCGATGCTCACGTGTCGATGTTTCCCCCCGCAGCTCTATGCTGACGTGGTGCCCAAGACGGCGGAGAACTTCCGCTGCCTGTGCACAGGTGAGGGCCCCATCCCCCGTGCTGCGCCCCCCTGGATCATCCCTCTCGATCGCCGCCGCGGTGACGAATGGCAGCGCAGGGGCGACGATCCACTCGCTCCAGCCATTCGCGCCCACTTTTCTCAGTGCCCTTGTTTCTGTTGCGCGTCGGTGCGCAGGCGAGAAGGGCGTCGGCAGGCTGGGCAAGCCGCTGCACTACAAAGGCAGCACCTTCCACCGCGTCATCACGGACTTCATGTGCCAGGTGCGTTTCCCGCCGGATCCGCCGGCTGCCCGCCACCGGTCGAATCTTGGGGAGGTCATTGATCGACCTCGGCGGCGGCGCTGGCGCCGGCGGCCCCTGCGTTCTCGCGCGAAGCCGCGATAGTGGCAATCAGGGTTGTTGCTCTGTTGCATGCAATTGGTAGACCCGTGGTTTGGTCGGATCAGGGCGGCGACTTCACGTCGGGGGACGGAAGGGGTGGCGAGTCGATCTACGGTGAGAAGTTCGCGGACGAGAACTTCCGATACACCCACGACGCCCCGGGTGAGTGTCCCCCTCCCCTCTCCCTCCTCTTCACTAGTGTGCTACCAGAATTGTCGCCAGTCGGCCCCCTGTTCAGCCGGCTTGCCGCCGGCTTTTATCGGCGGTGCCGTAAATTAAGCTCCGGGTCTCCGAGAGCGACGTCTCGAATCGGAGGACTGGCCAAGATGAAGTAGCTGACGTCATTTCACACGTCTGTTGCAGGGCTCCTTTCAATGGCCAACGCTGGACCCAACACCAACGGGTCACAGGTGGGCACGCTGGAGATAGTGCTTGCATTTTGGACAGCCTTGAGGGGATGTGATTGATATCTTGAACAACGTTGGCATCTGGGATGGAGTTTCCTGCCAGTGTCCAGGGGCTGATTGCATGCAAGGACTCAGTTGTTCGAGCACAATGGTCTCGCCGATGAGCTGGTTCTGTTATGGTTTTCAGGCTTGTTGCTTCAAAGCTTGCACGATTGTATTATTGTAGTGATTCAAAGCTGCTGCCGTACGATGCTTCAGCCCAGCCCTTGCGTGTTTCCCTTGCAGTTCTTTTTGACCACTGTCAAGACTCCATGGCTGGATGGCAAGCACTGCGTCTTTGGGAAGGTCGTCAACGGCTTTGACGTCGTGAAGAAAGTTGAGAGTTATGGCAGCTCAAGCGGAGCAACCAAGAGGAAGATCGTCATTGCCGACTGTGGCCAACTCCGCTGAAGCTTCATTTATGATAGCGCTGCAGATGCGAATCTTCAGTCGTTTGTGGATGCACTTGATGTTATCAATTTTGAGGGTGGACCAGCACCAAGAGATCGAGCGAAAAGAATGAAGGAATGAACGGATGGAGATCATTCATGTCGAGCACTTGAACTGTTTCATCCTTCATTGCAGCAGTATGCTTTGTTTATTCAGCCATCATGCTGAGTATTCACTCACTTGAAGCGGCAAATATCGTACTAGAACGGAGCAATTCACGAGCTAGTGGTAATGGCCGCTCAACGCAACGAGCGCCCCGCAGAATGAGGGCCCCAATCGCAATTCCCAAGAGCATCGTCGGAGTTCTGTGCGTTGTGTGGGATTCCAGAGTATCCGCCTTGCAAAAATCAGCATTTTGCCGCCCTGATTTCCCTATGCGTGAAAGCTCGTTCGAAAGCATTTGCACGCTCAGAGGACGACGCCAAAAAGCAACGTTCGAGGATCCTCACATATCACAGCAAGTACAATCCTATTCGGTTCCGGTTACTCTGAACTATCAAACGAAACTGGAAGTATGCAGTGACAGCCATAGACACGAACACCCAGTTAAGGACCTCTGGAGGATGTGTATGCGCACTCTACTGGAGGGATGAGGTGGCATGTGATTGACTTGTCGTATTTCTGTTTGTGCTGGGTTCCGAGGCAAGCGAATAGACAAAACCGTTGGGTTCTACCACGACTGTCGGCGAGAAGTTGCGATGGAAAATGGACTCGGACAAGCAAACACGTCAGCCCGAACAGTGTCGGTGGCGTGTTTGCATGTGCGGCTGCTGCTATGCGCCATCGGACCATCGGCGGAGTCTACGAACTAAGCTTCCTATGAGCACTTCCTGTGAGCGGTTTGAGCCATCACTCTGCGGGCCGGGCGTCCACAACTGCTGCAATGTTTACCACCACCAGGAAGCAGCAGCTTGAGCGCCCATGTTCACATCGAGACATCACATGACAGGAACTCAACAAGGGCTCGATGTGGGTTGGGCACTCTGGGCACCACGGAAGCCAAAGCGAGGACTTCTGCAAAGATTGCGGACCCGGCGGGCCCCCCGGCCATGTAACCATCGGGTGCCTTAGTAATGTTTGTGAACATTGATTGGCCTTCCCAAAAGGGCAACATGCAATTCAAGACCGGAAACCCTGGCAACCTTGGCACCCTGGCATATCTGCTGCTCGCCAACTCTTGCATGTCAAGCAGTTGCATGTTTGTCCGACGCGGCATTGTCCCAATCTGGGCCTCACTTTACGCCTCGTGTAGTCATTGACGCCCAGGCAGTGGAGTGGCGAATGCGGAAGCTGTACGGTTTGCTGAACAGCAAGTCGTGTTGGCTGCCGATGCAGCGTGTGGCAGGCGCCACATGACGGCGTACATGTCGGAGGCCTGCCATTCTGTCTCTGCGCAGGCCCAGCAGACCCTACCTGGGTTTCTGAGGTGCAGACGAGTCGCAGCACCGGAGAGAAAACGCTCTGCGTCATCTCGGTGCCACAATCTCGCAAGATGAACACCACAGCCAAATCGTTGCGCAAACGTGAGGTTGCCACCAAGCACTCATCGCTCTGTACAATGCAGGCGGCAGGACCTGCTCCAGCTCAGCCACAACAATCATGGGTTGCAAAATGCGCGATGTCAAAAGACTCAAGCCACTCTCCCCAATCCTTCGGCGGCCACCCCTCCATTTGTCAGGACGCTGTTCCCGCTCAGCACTCCTCAGAACACCACAAGCACCCTGTCTGTGTGGCACGTCTGGCACATGGCCGTTATAGAATACACGAAGTTTTCCTCGTGGTCACACTGCCCCAAGTGTGCAACCGTGGCTGGGAGGTAAGACAGCGCCTTTTCGGAGCTGCGCCCGCGCTTCGTTGTCACTGCGCTGCTGGGGTCCTCCCCGGTGGCGGACGGAAACTCGATCGCATGTGTTCCGTGAGGCGCAGGCAGCTTCTGGGCGCCACACAATCCGCAAGACGCCATTATGGACAGGAGGAGTGGGGGCAGCGCCGAGTCGCAGGTTTCGCAGGTGTCTTGCCACGTGGAGTTCAAGCACCGCTTCTTGCTGTGGGGCAGAAACACGTGATGGAATGAGAGACGGTCCCGTTTGGCTGCAGTCGCCAGAGAAAACAAGACATACAGCACAGACAACCAGTTTCAACTGTCTGATGGGCATCAAGTCCATTGACGACGTCCGTTCGAGAACGCCGGCTACTTTTGGACGCGCTTGCTATTTTCGATCAGGAGCAGGAGGCGTCAGAGGAGAGCAAGGGGTGAAGCGGATCGGTGAGTGTGCAGGACGCGAACTACGACCCGTCCACCAGCATGCTGCAGTACACACACGCTGGCACGCTGAAGTTCTGTCCAGCCGTGAAACGCGCGCAAATGTGAGCGTCCTTGACGCGTGTACGTAACGTACATGAACAACAAGTCAGGGATGCCAGCACATTTGAACTGCAAGCCTTGTATATTTGTGCACGTGCCCGCCAGAAACGCTCGCCATGGAATTCTGCCGATCCTTCAACGCCCATGCCTTGAATATGGAACGATTATAACGATAAAATCGTCCCGCTGCCAATTTCCTGGCAATCTCGCACAGCAACGCACCCTCTGCCTGGCAGCTAGATCGCAACCACCACGACAGACAATCACCTGAGATACTGGAGGAAGCAGATCAGCTTATCCACTCGGAAATGCCCCATTTGAAGTGCCAGGTGGAACGGCGTGACGCCATCATCCGACGCGACTGTGGTGAATATTTTGGGTCCGCAGCAAGACAGCAGCGTGACGGCCATGTGGCCGTCGTCCTCCAGGAGCGCTGACAAATGCAGCGGCGTGATTCCGTACAGTCCCTTTCCACAGCTGCAGAACTCGGCACTGCATGCAGCAGAAAACGAATGGAAGCTGGGACGCGGCGCAGATGTCCAAGTCGCACAACACAACACCGCAGCACATTCGCGGCACTGCTGCAATGCACAACTTCACAAACAGGCTGCCTCCTTGGTAAGCAGAGTCGAAGAGCAAAGCCAGCGAGCTCAGCGCATATGGCAGAAGCATTCACACCGCGGCTGTGCATTGTACTGGTGCCACTGAAAGCTGTGCACATCGCAAAGCTCTTGGGGCACAACCAAGAAATGTTGGGTTGCAAAACAGTTCTGCTGGCAGGAGACAACTCGCAAAACCCAAATTCCCAGATGGGGATGTCTTCTGCAAATGCCTGAACATTATTCAGCCGATGCGAGTTTCTGACAGCGCGGTGGGACACAACTGCATGCAGCTTTCAACAGCAGCGTGCCCCACACACGGTCGTGGGCTTCTGCTACCATCCCCACCTGTTCATCCAGGCCCATTCCATCAGCTTCTTGGCCACAGTCGTGCTCCCAGAGCGGACCGCTCTGTGCAACAGTGAAAGCCCCTTTGTGCTGATGGAATCTTGAATTGCCTCGTCCACCGATGCACATCCCCAGGTGGCAGCAGCAAACAGCCTGTCTGCTAATGCGCTGCAACCATGATCGCATGCAAAGGCCAGAAGCCTGGGACAGGCGCACACAGTGAGAGCACAGTATTCCTCCCCTCAAAATCACGGAGTTTCCGTGCAAGCCAACACGTCAGTACCATACACAATGCTCAACACAAACAACACGACATTACTCCATACACTGTTAGTATTGCAGCAGACAGCGCATATCCTGCCTTCATAACACTGACCTAGAACATGGGCATTATTATCCTATGGTGGTGCGGAGGTGCAGACGCAGGAACTGGTGTTCTTCCGAGACACGTGTGGCCTTGCTGCATTTCACAGTACAAGCGATAGAACATTCGGTGATGAAGCACAATGTGGCCAGAACAGAACACACAAAACAAGCAGGCTTCACGCAGTTCTGTCCATTGGAGAGCTGTACCACCCACCTCCTGGCCTTTCTCCCGAGCTCTTCAACACTAATGCGATGCCTGTGATTCCCATCAGTGCCTTGAAACACGAGGACCAAGTCCAATAGGAATTCATCCATCCTTCCTCCAAAATACAGTTCAGCGTCTTTTCCCAGGGCTAAGGCGTTGATCTCTTCTGCAACGCAGTCATCGTCCACCAGCAGCAATACCCGTGGCTCGCTCAGCACCGCCCCACAAGCCAACTCCAAGAATGCAGCCCGGGTCCCTTCAAATCCCTCCACACAGCACTTGAAACGTCCAGGAGCGTCCTGAGAACGCCACGTTTCGACTCTGTGGACAACAGTCAAGGAAATTCATATCTGGCAAGGTTACAGACCGTTACGTAATGGCTGAACGTGGTGAAGCAGTGCTTCATTGCTAAAAATCGTGTAAATGTGATGTGACCCATGTTAGGAGTGGGCCTAACCACTATTTCGAAGAGTTAGCAATACTGAATGCACCACAGCCATTCACCACAATAACTGCCAATTGCAAATGCTTGCAGTAACAGTTCCTTGTTTATCTCGACCGTGTTTTTATTGCTATTCTGTACAACCAAACCTCCTGCTAGCGATGGCGAGTAGGGTCGAGTTGCACATTGCATACCCAGAACCTAATTATTTAGTTCTAAATACAGAACTTTCATTCCATCAGCCAATTGCAGCACGATGCCAGATTTGGAGTGAAGAAATCCAACAGTCCCTAACACAATCTTCTGTGGAATGCAAGAATCGTTGGTGTTTTACATCATTTTCCAGCTCTAGTTCGGCAGCATAGCAGTACAGACAACCTTGCAAAGAAATATACGGATGGTAATCCAGGTCTCCCACTTACTTTGGTGAGGTGCAATATAGCCATAGCAGCCTAAGAAAACCCAATGCGCAGCATACATCTCTTTGTTAAGAAAAGCTTGATCTATTCCAAATGTTGCCACATGGTCAAGCAGTGTGCTTTCACCTTTTCGGCAGCGTCAGGCAAAGTTATTAAGTACAAAATTGTGTTCAATGACACGTCTTCTGCTACCCTGTTTAGAGAGTGACAAGAAAGTCACCTGATTGGAGACTCTGGAGTCCTGCAGAGCAGCCGACAATCATCACAGCGTAGTGATACTGCTTCTACTGTGACGATTTCTGCTAATGAAGGGGACAGGCACACAGGATGCAGATCGCTTATCCTTGGTGCTCGACAGCTCCCTTCAAGATTCATTGTTGCTTGCATCTTCCCCTCAGCAACCACTGCTGTCTCAATGCCAAGCTGCACCACCATCGTTGAAGATCTCCAGATCTGTTAACACAGGGTACAACAGTGCCATTCCAGTCATTCCTCGCTTTCCAACAAAATCACCCACTTCTTTTGTACAACTCATATCGACTGCCATTGCATAGCTAACATCCGAACACAGATGCCTTTGCAGCATCACGCCTGACCCAAATGAAACTACTGGTCGTCCCACTTTCAACACACAGTCCAGGGTGGTGACAGCGGAGTTTGCCAAGTGCTGGTGTCGACACCATGAATAAGTTCTGAAACACTGCATTGCCTCCAGGATCCATCCTGTACCACAGGAATTGCGCTTCGCAGCACAAACTAACACAAAATGGGAGCAATCTCTCTGACAATAACGAGGACTGGCGGCAATTTTCACCCTGACCACCACCAAATTCAAACCTGCTCTCCACAGTATGTGTGCATGGTGTTCACCGATGCTGCAGCTCAACACCTCATGCCTTCGTGAGCCTTTTTGCATTCTGACAATTAGCCATTTTGCAAATCTGTCTGGCCAAAAATACAAATCTGAGGTGAGCGATAGCAAATGCTTTCCAATGTCGTACTTCGCTCTGCTCTCTTTTCAAAAGGTGCGCCACGACTCCACGTACTCCGGCCATTGCTATCCGCTCCACAACATGCGATGCCAACAGCAGGTACACTGTCAACAGGACGCAGCCTGAAGGAAAGACACAGTCTCAAGAAAATGGACACCCATACGAGCAGTCTGAATTGACATGCACCAGCATTCTACTGTCAATAGGCTAAAACTGGGCATTGTAACAACGCTAGCCAAATCAACTCCTCACAACAGTTATCTCTGTGTGTTGTCATTTGTCAACGACTCAAATTATGCCCACAGCGGCTGCACTGCTGCCTAGATAATTGGCCACTGGCAGTGCCAGGGTAGCCTCACGCAAAGGAATGGCACAGTCGTCACTTTGGCAACTCCACAAGCATGCCTCATCTGTGATATTGCAGGATGCCCCATTTCCCCATTGCCGCAGCAAATCAGCCCAGTCAAGGACGCAGATCAATTGAATGCACTGTCCACACAGCGTTAATGTGTAGCGCGTGTGCGATTCTTTGCAGATGATCAGGGCGTCAGGGCGGTTGCACAGGATGTACAGAGGGGTCAGAATCAAGCTCATTGGAGTAACAGAACTCACAACCAGCAGCCGCAGCAAAATGAACTGAAAACTTGTGTGACACTCGTGGACGATGTCAAAAATACACAAAATTTACTGTCTGTGTACAAATGCACCCTTGCAAGGGACCTCAAGTGACGTAGCCCCCACCAGGAGCAATCATGCCCTCCATCATAGTTGGGGCAGAGCCCAGCCATGACAAGATATCCTCCTTCAACCCTGCCGGCAAACTGGAAGGGGTCTTGTTGAAGAGCTTCAGTGACAACCGCTGCAGCCTTTCATCTGTCTCAAACGTTGCGCTGAAGTCTTCCTTGCAACTCACCATCTTGCGTGCAAGGCTGTATGTTGTTATGTCACAAGGGGTGCCATCTTCAGAGGACGGGCACTGAGGACTGGGCTGCACAGCGCTGACAGGGACGTCTGCAAGCATGACGCAGGGATGTTGACAAGAAATGAGCCCATTCATCCACTGACCGTTGCCAAGCAGGTGATGGCACAGCATGGTAAACCATTCACTGCTCTGCACTGCCCACCCGGTTCAAGTTGACACCATTGCCGATCTGTTGTACTCATCTGAAGCACAAATATGTGGGTGCAAATGCACAGCAATACCAAGGCATCTGAGAGGTGTCAAAACCAGCAGGAACAGAGTTGGTCATGCCAGCCCACCATAAGAAAACAACACATTGGCTGTGTAGTTAGATTGCTAATCATGCAGGTACAGCAATTGATCAAATCTGTCTTCACACATAAAGTGGTGAAGCAAAATGGTCACATGTCACAGTTGCCTGGTAATGCTGACACAATGTCGGACATTAGTGGCCTAGCTGCACATACAAATTGGAAGTTACCAGCAGGGGTGGGAGGTTTGCCACTGGAAGATTTGGCATTGCTGCTTGAACAAGGACAGGGACGTGCATCCACACATTCATCAGACTGGTCTTCAATGGCAACATCCGCAGTCCCGACATCGCACTGGCATAACTCCGAGCATTTTCCAGGTGCTCCGGGAGCCCGAGAGGTGAATGGTGCTGGCATCGGACACTGGGGCGGAAGCGCAGGATTTAACGGCAGCCCCAAGAGCAACCTGCAAATGCCAATGCACATTGTAATGCCATAAATAACTATGGAGAATCACCATCGTCAGCCTGGGCAATGTGGTGAACTCCCCCACAGGCTTTCATCACATGCAACTTGGCTATGCATGCTCTTCAAAGCCTTTTTTCACGACAAACCCAGGTCCGCAACACATGGAAACATTGATATGATAGTATGTGGGCAACCACTGGCACAACAAGACAACATAGGCACGTCTGTCAGAGTTGGGGTTGAAAACATAGAAACAGCCACAACCAAGAGAGAACAAATCACCAACAAAAAACACCATTGTTTCAGTCATCCACGTGTACCTTTTCTCTCAAAAGCTGGCTGTCTCATGTCTTTACAGCTAACTGGTGCAAGAACTGCCTGCATCGAATGGTGCATGAGAAATTGTAAAGGAACGACTTACAGTCGATTTCCAGAACAGCTCAGCAGCAACCTAATCACCTGAGGGCTCTCAGGTGGCCTGGGTTCTTGCATAGACCTTGCAGAAAACGCCCCACTTCTGAGTCGTCCTCAGCAAAACTCTCCACCTCTGCCATTTCAGGCTTCAGCTTCTGGCTTGCACGCTTGCGTCGACGTGCGTTGTGTTTGTTCAGCTGGTCTCGACAGGAGCGTCGGTTGCCATCAAAAGCTACCAAGTCGTGGAACCGGCCACACTGCTGACAGAAGCGCTGCAGACGACCATTCTTCATGACCTACCACATGCATACGATGATGACCAGGCATGGTTGAAGGCTGGCAATGACCATCTGCTTGAAGCCCAACTCAACTGTGCATGGAATTGCGCCCATCATCGTCTTGTGATTGCAGTGCATGTCACATTTTGACCAGCACAATCACTTAAAAAGGATATTCTTCTGTATGACAATACTCTTGTACAACACAGCTACAGCTCCAGACAACTGCACCACACATCCTGAGAAGAGCACAGTCGACTTTGGGGTTCTGGCATGCAAAACAAGAACATGGCTTCAATAAACTAGACTTCAGCATGTCCTGTGACGTATTCCACACAGCTGATGCAGCATGTCACTTCTCACCAAAACGATGTTGAGACAAGGTAGATCGCCAGCCCAATGGCAACTGCTGAAAACGACATTGAGGCAAGACAGATCGCCAGCTCAATGGCAGCCTCACAAAGGTGGGCATAGACAGGTGGCCAACGACGCCCAAACACTGACCCGGGGGAGCTTGATGTGGATGTCGCATATTCTGTACCTCTGGTGGTATTCCTTGAGATTCTCCAAGTCCATCCCACAGCCTGACACTTGGCACACGAGCTGCAGGTTGCTGGTGTCTGAGGCCAATACTGGAACGTCTGCAGGTATTGATGTTGGGGTCAGGTCTGTCCGAGGGCTTCCACTACTTTCAACGACCTATCAAATAAACAGAGAACTCTGCGGGGAACTGGAGTAGGGACATGGCAAGACAAAGAGCCACGTTGCAGAGCACATGCTGATGCAACAGGCTGCAGACAAGTGGTACTGTGAGAATTCTGACACGTTGAAAGTGGCCAACGTGTCAAGTGCACCAAGGTTGACAAGTGGGTGCAGCCGAAAACAGACAACATGCAGTGCTGGGAGGAGCTTTCCTTGGGATTCATCAATACTGCATCCCAGTTTACTCACTGTGAACACGAGAAAACATCTAACGGCACTGTCTGTCATATGGATACCACCACACTCTGCACCCTGTACTTCTCAAAAACTTTGCATCATCCTTGAATTATGCAAACAAAACTTCCTGTCTTTTCTTCAGTAAGGTTATTCCGACTGTGCAGCTTGGTATCTGCTCTTCCAACAAAACAGTGTTCCCAGATTGTACATGCACATGCAATTGTCCCCCTTACAGTGGTCAAATTGAAATAGACAAGCCGAGTCACCCCTGGATGATGAACTTGTCATTAGACAAACTGTTGTTTAGACTTGCACAGTCGCAAGTCTCCATCACTGTGAATGACAAGGTTTAATCATACTTGAACCTGTCTAACCGGGTTGAAACAGCATTTTGATGCCAGCATACACCTCCAGCATCGTAAATCAATTGCTGCAAGAGTCAACATCTTATTCAGGAATGGCAGAGGAGGCAGCAGAAGTTGCACCCGCAGCAATGTACCCAGATTGCAAATACAGCAGAGCAGCCAGCAGACCCACATCCAAGCAAGCTGGCAGTCCACAATTGCTCAAACGGGTAAGCAGCATCTTCCATTGCCAACATTCGGTGCAGTGCACTTCCCTTCTGCCAATTTCTCTCCAAAACGCGTCAAAGTTTCTATGCCAAACTTTCAGGCTTGGAGGCTTCCACAGTTTACATGAAGGCAAAAGCTGCAACCCCAGAATTGAACCCCAACAAATATGGGCAACTTGCACCAGCACCAGGGGCCATACGGTCTCAGGAAACAATTCACTGGCAATCTCAACGCCCACTCTACCTTCGTCTCTTCCATGCTACAAGGTTCGTTTCCAGTCCCTCCGTTTGCACATGGGGAGGCAAAAACAACGCCTGGTTGTGTCGGTCGATGTGCACTTGCTGAAGTTGGCAATGGCCCCATGCATGGGAAGGAATGGGTATTCATGGATGCCACACTGCCACCCGCCAATCCCGCATTCCCCATTTGGGAAAGTCGAGACAAATTATCAGAATCTGAAATGTCCATTGGCATTTCATAATCCCTGCCTGAGATCTGCGGGGTGTGCATTGCTGTCTCAACATGCGAGGAAGACACCCTTGGTAGAGCAAGCCCGGACCCAGTGCGAGCAAACTGGGGATTCAGTTCTTGTCTGCTTGGCTGAGAATGCGTCCCTGGAGGGAAAACTGTGTGAGGGAAGCTGGGCGCCCTGGAGGTGAAGTTGCAGGCGCTCGCGTCCACGCCTCTCTGGAAGGTGTTGCTTGGGGGCATGGTTTCCAGCATCTGAGGCACGCTGTTCATCGCTTCCGCCCCCGGTTGCACCACCAAGTTCCTTCCGCCTGTTGGGATGCAAAGAACACCAAACACTGAAAAAGCAGCAGACAACTAAAACTTAACTCCTCACAAATTAAATTCCTCATGAGCATGGGTGGGGCGGTGCCTATTCACCGGCCTGGTGGGGAAGCAGGAGGGGAGGAACAAGGAAACGAAGGCGAAGCGACAGGGAAGCTGGAACGCTTGGGGGTGTTCCGGCAAACATGCTCCCTTCTGCGGTGCCCAGGCGGGTGCACGACCAGCGGCCCCCAAGAAGCAGTGGGCCAGGAGGCCTCGGGCGCGTGGGCACCCGCCAAAACTTTCATGGCTTACATACCCTTCATGGCTTCGCAAGCGGCCGGCTGCTGCCCCACCCTGGGCTCCGCAACGAGGTCCAAGGAGTTCCAATGCCACTCGCTCTCCCTCCAAGTGCTGGGGTCCCCCTCTGGAGTCGACAAACAACCGGAGCAGCGAGTGAACGGGGCGAACCACCACCAACACGGAGGTGCCCAACGGGCGCCCATGGAACGTCGCCCTCCGCGCAAGCAGCACCGCCGGTGAGAGAAAATGCCCAAGAAATACGCATGGAAAAATTGCGCAAAAATAAGCATCGCCCAAGGAGCTGGACGGTGTTTGCGACGCAAGACGCCCTCCGGCAGTGGCGCCGGCTCCCGCACCCGGCGGCAGCCGCCGCCGCGCCCGCCGATCCCGCCTCGGCGGCGCCCGGGACGCCCACCTTCGAACAGCATCTGCTGCAGCATGTCCGTGTTGGCCATCCCGGCCCCGTCCCCAGAGCCGCGCATGCCCGCCATCCTCCGAGGGGCACACCCTGGGGCGCCCCGACGCCGGTAGGGGGGATCGCGCCGAGCCTGGCACCCGGATCAGGGCGCGGGGCGCCCGAAGGTTTCCAGGGTCGCGCCCGCCGGCCTTGTCATTGAGTTTGGGAAGTTGTCCTCAGCGAGACACCGCCCGTATTTGCGGCGTGGCTGGGCCGCAAGCAACGAGTTGCCGCGAGCGGCAGTGCACACGCACACACACACACACTCTGAAGATCATTGGGTCCTGGGATCGCAGGTCGGGGACGTCACAGGCCCGTCACACTTCCTGGGCGATGGGTGCAAATGATATCTCATGCTGGCGTGGATGTGTGACTGAACGATGACTGACGACTGAGCGATGACTGAACGGCCACTGGCGGAGCGGTCAAGAAATCCCGGGATTCTTGCAATTTGTTGTTGGTCTGACGGATTGACCGATCTGCCTGGGGCGGAAAATGAAAATGCAACTTCAAGCAGTTTGCGGCTGCCTGTTGCGCGATGGCTCAACGACTCCTTGGAGTGGCCAAGAAGGTGCGGTTTTCTGCAATTTGTCGTTGCTTGGACCAATTTATCAACGAAGCCGTCATCAACGAGGGTCAAGCAACCTTGAATCAACCAACGCCCAAATCAGTGACGCCATTTTCCGTCAATTCGAGAAGTGGACAAGTTTCACAGAAATGCATATGCTAGGCCAGTGTAGTCGCAGCCCCAATGACCGACTTGAAGAATTGGGATACCCCTCTTATCTAGCATGACACAGGAAAAGTCTTCAACAGGCTAAGTATGGACATAGCGACAGCCCCCATCTTGCAACTCCCACATGATTGTGGCGAATTCATTGTTGCCACCAGTGGCTTGGTGGGTATCAGTGCGCACAAACGATTGGCAGCATTGAGGTCAGGACATCAGCCAGACAGCCAAGACAGCAAGATGTTGAATCTTGCAAAAGCATGATATTGAGCCTACGGAAAGGATTCGTTAGGGATCGTTTTGTGCTGCGGCAAAATGGCAGCAGTATCTTTCCAGCCACCACTTCACCAACATGGCAGACCACGCTTCTTTGACGAACCTACCCAATCAAAGGGCATGAGGGTCATATGTGCAGCAGACCACAGTTGCCATAATTCAAATCAATGCATTCGATGCAATTTTCTTCAGCATGCAACTGAAGGCGATCTGCCAACATGACACGGGGTTTCAACAAGTCAAGAAGTCAAAGACCAAAAGAAAATCTGTGAGACACCAGCAGTGCAACGGGGGAGTATCAACAGCTGCCAACACAACGGAAGAATTGACATAGGCACCATTTCTGTCGGTGACAAGCTTCCAACCAGCCACCAGTATACAAATCTGGGTCAGAAATAGTCACAATGCCTGCATGCCAATATGATGCTTCCTCCCAGGTCCCAAGAAGCATCTGCCACACATTCCCACCTCTAGACGCATGTCATCCAAAGCAGAGGTGATGAATATCCGGAATGTAATCCCTGTGGTGAGACCCCAATCCCAAAGGAACAAAATTTATCTTTCTGCCAACTGCATTGCAATGAGCATGCATCAGCCAAGGCCAAGAGGCATTGCCATTGGGCGAATCATGCCCATTGCCCCATCGAACCGTGTGTGCCATCACAGAAGCTCACAACTTGCCACAAGCATGCCAGTCAACAGATGCAATGAATGGCAGCAACGATGTACTCTGGCAATATACCACACCATTCGGGGGAGGGATCTGCCTGGACTTGATGGGTGCATCTGAATTGTTGTGAAAGAATATCTGCTGGAGAAGGATCGCCCACATCTGTCACAAAAGATTCTGGAAAATTCCCAAATTTAGGGTGTCCTGGACAAGCAGAATGCTCCCCAACATCATCAGCGCAAGCCAACCAGATGCCATGACACCATTTTCAACACCCTGTGGCAGCTTCTTGCCACCCCGGGCTGCCTCAAGAAGCAACAGTGCCAGGAAGCCACCATCCAGTGCAGGTACAGGCAGAATGTTGACGATCGCCAGGTTGATGTTGATGATGGCAGCAAATTGGAACAGCTGTGAGGAGTCCACTTGAGCCACCTCAGCACCCACGGCCACCGCAGCCAGGGGCCCCGACAGTTCACCTCCTTTGAAGTTTCCAATGAAGTTCTGCAGGGCACGTGTGACGTCCCCGCACATCCTGCTAATCTCGTTCGATGCGAGCACCATTGCCTGGAAGACATTGGTGGCCTTGGTGCGAACAGTGGAGGCGTTAGAGACAAGCTGGAGCCCTATGCGGCCTTTTCCATCGACATCTTTCTCAGGGGTCACCGCGATTGGGAGTGTCTTGCCACTGCGATTGATGAGCAGGGGGAGCTTCTGACCCGCACTGTCATTGATGGCATTGACAACATTTGATACTGAGGAAGCGCCCGCAGCAACTGGCACGCCGTCCACAGAGATGATGATGTCCCCAGCTTTTAATCCTGGAATTGAACATGCACAGCATGCCAGAGTTACAATCCCCACTCCTTATATCTGGACACAAACTTGGAACTGAAATAGCGCTGCCAATTTGGAGTAGCTGACCCGATTCTGTTCAACAAAACAGGATTACAGGAAGCACCAGTAGGGGACACCTCCATCATGAAATGTGCTGCCGCCTTTGGCCAAGAGACAAAGAACAGCCAAAAGGTAGGAAAACAGCCCATTTCACTACACTCCATCTCAAACATTCCATTTGTAGCATTTGCCTACAAGACTTGCCTACAGAACAGAACAGTGCCTTTGCACATTGCAGATGATGGTAAATGCATGCATGCAGCTCGCGTTTGCATGTCATCGTGTTTGCAGAATGAGTACTTTCAAGCCTCAAATGGGTGATCCGAAGTTGGCCGGCTGGTGACCATATCGAATAAGCTGTAGAAAACGGGATACTCAACCTATTTCTGTCAAGCAGGCAGCTTTCTCCCACCTGACGATTCTGCTACCGACTTGCGTGTCACCGAAGGGATCCTCACACCTGGCTGGTAGACACGATCAGCTACACCAACTGTGCAGACCTGCGGGTGCAATTTACGATCTCATTACACAAGGTGTGGTCAATGACTGTGTGTAGGGGCCAATGTGAGCTGCCGGCATCCATACTGCAGCAACATTCACGACAACACAAATGGCATGGGGCTCACACAGCTAAACAACTTTGTGGAATCAGATTCCGCCACAGGCAAGCCAGGTAGCAACTGTGCTACAGCACAATAATGTCCCGCCCATTTCTAATGAAAGCTGATGGTCCAGTTCAATGCGCAGAAGCTTCAATCACCTTGAGACAGTATCGACCCATTTCGTCACAGATAGCAATGTGCGCAACAACAAAAGCAGCAAGAGCGAACAGCACCAGTTGTGCCAGCGCTCACACCTGAGCAAGTAGAATCGCGAATGCAAACACAAAGTTTGCAACGACTCCGGCACTGACAACAAGCACCCTCTCAGGAATTGTCCTGTTCCTGAGCAAGTCAGGATCATCCAATGGATAGGGGTTTTCTGGATCGTCATCAGGGAAACTGACAAATCCTCCCAGTGGGATCGCCCTCAAGGAGTATTCCACCACTTGGCCCTGCACACATGATTGAAGGTCACCTTGTGAGCAGAAGAGGTCACACATTGAGCATCCCCCTCTGAGTGAGAAGTTTTGTGATGCCTTATCCACATGGCAGACGAATATGCAGCATGTATGTGAATGAATGTGTGTGTGCATGCATGAATGAATGGTCACAACACCTGTCTGTACTGAGTGCAGATCATCAGGCATAATGGGTTTTCTTGACAATTGAGAAGGACCCCACAATGCTTCTCAAGAAGGAGACCTCAAACCCAAATGTCATCAGAGTGCACAGAGCGCACACAAGTCACCAGCCAGCGAACAAACAATGGCACAGAAGTCTCCCAGCCAATAGTAACAGCAATCGACACGAGAACATCACAGTTTGCTATGCGCAAAGCAGCAACAGTGAACTTCCATCGCCAGAAAGGATACTTCAGGTCTGCGAAATGGTGAGGTATTGCTGTGTTCCAACACAGTGCAATAACTAGGAACTGAGATAGGCAGCAAACTCCACAAAGAATAGTTGTCGTTGTGTGCTGTGATTCTAAAGCCACCATGTTGTCCCTCCTATATGTGGTAAGCTTGGCTACCATTGTTGGACTGCACTGGAGTACGTGAAGACAGCACAGCAATGCACTCACTGGCTGCTGCCCAAGGGCTTGGCTGCATGCTGGGGCATTTCACAAGTTGACAAGACTATCGCACAGCAGCCAGTAGACCACATCACCACATGCTCATAGTACATTAGAATCACACTGCTTCTGTTAGGCCTCCGTGCTGTGTGCCTCTCTGAGTCCTGTTACATATATAGATGTATCCAGAAATTTCTCGGTACCTGATACTTGAGCAAGGCAGGCCCGAATCCGATGGAGAATTTGCTGACATGTATGTTTTGTAACCTCGCCGCAAGGAAGTGGCCCCCCTCATGCACGGCCACAATCACAGCAAGTATGGCAATGGCCTCTGCTAGACCCCCAGGATTTGGACCATATGCTGACACATCACCTGATTCGCCACATACAATGCACACTCAGCACACAGCCACAAAGACTTTCCTTGGTAGACATACATCGTGACAAACTGAATCTGATAGTTGGAGATGGCATTGCAGACAAAGAATCACAACGCTGTGTCCATGTGCAAGCTGCAAGCTGCTGTTTGCAATTGTGAGCCACAGTGAAGGGCTCGCATGGAATGGACTTGCATGGGCCCCCTTGGCAACGACCTGATGAACAGAAACAAGGTCAAAACACCAAACATCCAACCATCCATGCTTGGGACATGGTCAGAACCAAAGGCAACCAACTGCGAACTGTCTCTCCAGGCGCATTTCACAATGGCCAGCAGATGCGCTCTCTGGTCTTCGTTTCATGCCTGAGCATGGGAAGCGCTTTATCAGATGAAGCTGAATGAACGTGAGAAATGAATTGGACAAGACTGACAATGGCTTGCCCACTGCGGAGATCTCGATCACATAAATCAACCCAACACACACTCCCCACCACCAATAATCGTGACCCCTTCAAATGCCATGCGCTCCCACTGTTTCCAAGGTCCCTGTGGACGGTCAGCGTATTGACTTTGCCTGACAAGCCAGCTCGACAGATCCCAGCCGTCCGCCCAGCGCAGGTGCCTCGAGCAGTGTGCCCCTCGCTGAGGTTGAACTGCAGGGATCAATTCATTTATTCCATGCCATCCCCACCCGGCGCACCTCCATTCGCCGCCGCGATCGCCATCCCCGCACCCAGCGCCAATCCCTCCGGCCACAATATTTCCAGCATTCCCCCCGCGGGCCGCTCGGCGGCCACCCTCCGGCCAGTCGATGGCCCCTCCTCGCCGCCGCTGTTCGCCCCTCGGCAGTCCGGACCGCCTGCGTCGGCAAGTCCTCGGTTCAAATCCTCACGAATCCAAACAGCGCAGTACAGCAAAACTACCAAAGCAGCGCCTCTGCGCCTCGCGCCCGGCCGCAGGCACGACCTCGCTCACCGGAACGCGCCCGCTCCTCCCCGCGATCGCCGCCCCCCTCCCTCTCCCCTTGGGCATTCGATGCGGCAATGGAGCCGCATTGCCGTCTGAATGGGCCAGCCAGCGCGCCCGCGCGGCTAGAGCCGACCAGCGGCCGCGCTGCAGGGCCCCTCATCCCGACGACGACTCTCCTCTCAGGGCGCACGGGCCTCAGCCCGCGGCAAGACCCCGCGGGCGCCGTCCGCAAGGGCGGCAGGCGAGCCGGAATCGCCGGCGGCCATGTCTGTGGATCCGCGGGATGCGGGGGCGCCGCCATGGCGGGCCCGAACCGGGAGGCGGCCGCGGTTGGGCGGGCCGGGGCGGAGGGCGGTGGGCAGGCGGGGGGTGCGCGGGGCGTCCACACACGAGGACGTGGAACAAGGCGACGGGGTGGGTGGCGGTTGGGCAGGCGGTTTTTCGGCCGCCGAAAGTCGCATTGTCCGGAATGAAATGCGTTCATTCCGCGCTGAGTGTGGCGTCGAGCCTCGAACCACCGCAGAAATGGCGTCCAAATGGCGAATCTTCCGGCAATGAACCGGTCACGCACGAAAGTAGACGCTCGCCCGTCCGAGCTGAACTCGACGGCGAAGTGCACCCGCAATGGGCGTCTGTCAGCGCGGCATGTTCACAGTTCGGCGGGGTACAATCCCCGAAAGACACTCACAGAACAGCGAGGTGGGCCCCCAAGGTTCGCGTGTTTGTTACAAGCAAAGCCGTGTGTCCATAAATATCCAAGCCGCTGGTGCGGCACCGTCACCAGGGTTTCATGAAAGGTGCCGTCAGATTCGTACAAGGTACCACTGTACCTTTCCCTTGGGTGCGCTACCCACGCCTTCAACATACCGACCGCTCTGGTCTATGTACTAACCTGTGATACCCAGGGTTCCGAACTCTTCCTAAGCCGCCGGGTGCGTTACCCTAGTCCCACAACACCAGCACTCCACACTAAAGTACTGGCCCAGATTACCCAAGTCAAACGGACGGTGCCGCGCTCAACTTCCCGTATCATCCCGCTCCAAATCTACTATATCTCCCATCAAAACTCACTCCTCATGCCGCAGCACCACGGAGGGTGCGGCACCCGCCGTAATTGGCTCCGCAAAGTGCTCCACTCCGGTGGGTGCGTCACCCAACAGGTCTCGGTTCCTTAAGTACTCCCAACCTCGTTTCTGGCATCCCCATGGCAAGCCAGACGCGTCAGTCGTCGTCCTGGGGCGTTTCTAGCCGAGCGGCACCTCTCCTAAGCCGGTAGCTCCGTTCCTCAGGCCGGGACGTGTTCCTACTCTCCGTTGCCTCCTCAATAGTCCGGTCCATCATATGGGCACTCGCCAGTGGTTGTGTTGAGGCACCGTTGGGTTCGCAGCCTCATCATAGGTCATCTCTGGTTAGCAAAGTTGGTGGTTCATCTTCCCAAGGGTAGCTGGCCTTTCCATACCTTCCAGTACAGCGTCTCATAAGCATCACACACCTTCAGTACTGTCGTTCCATCTTTGCACGGTCAGGGCACTTCTCGTAGTCTACATGATCAGTCATCAAGCATTCCAGCGCCTATCGATCCCCATAATCAGTTTAACATGATGCTGCTAATGTCAAAGTACGCGGTTCCGGCGGTAGTACTCAGAAAATCGCTACACTGAGAGCATCTTAACGGTGGTTGCTATTGTCCCGGCGGTGCTATTCGGCTATCCAAATGCGGCACGTCGAAAACCCATCATTAGCGGTTGGGGAGCGATAGCACCCCAATAGCACCCCCGGTGCCATTCGGAGCCGAGCGGTCCTATTCTGGCTCAGAATAGCACCGCACGAGGCCGAATAACACCCTAGTATAGCGCCCGGTGCTATTCGCACAGAACATTGCAGTGGTGCTCTGATGCTACCAGTCGTAGGAATAGCACCCTGCGTTACGGATGCGTGCAGACAGGGGAGCAACAGCACCGGTGCTATTCGGCAAATGCAGCCTTAGTAAGAGCATCTTTATCGGTCGGTGCTATTGCACCGGCGGAGCTGTCCAGGAACGGTTCTCATTGGCTGCCGCGCCACCTTACTAAGGTGGCATTTGTTGAATAGCACCGGTGCTAATGCTCCCCTGCGCGCATCTGCAATGGTGGGTGCTGTGCCTACGCCGAATAGAATCACTGCAGCACTACAATGTTCTGTGCGAATAGCACCGATGCTATTCTGGGGTGCTATTCGGCCCCGAGCGGTGCTATTCGCGGCCCAAATAGCGCCGCTCGGCGCCGAATAGCTCCAGGGGTGCTATTGGGGTGCTATTGCTCCCCAACCGTTAATGATGGTTTTTCGACGTACGATGCTATTCGGATAGCCGAATAGCTCCGCCGGGACAATAGCACCCACCGATAAAAATGCTCTAAGGTGGCAGGAACGCCAATCAGAAACTTTTCTGGATAGCACCGACGGTGCCATAGCACTGACCGATAAAGATGCTCTGAAAGTACGTTTCTTCGAATACAGCTGCTTAGGATCCGGGCGAACAGGGGATGTTGTAAACGCGACACAGCAGCGGCGTTTTAGGCAGCAAATGGCGCCAAGGGCCATGTCGCTTTTCCACTTTCACGGCGATTATGCATTGCTGCTACCCGCCCCCCAACCCGCCCACTCACCCATCACCCCAAAATGGCACTGAGTACAGGACGGTTTTTCTTCCTGTTCTTCACTGACGAGCTCCAAGTACAGCCGTATTCAGGGCTGGGCCAACTTTGCTGCTTACGGTACCGCACTTTACCACAGCACTACCATGTCGTGCCGCAATATAGCACAGCACAGATTTTGCGGATGCAAAGACATTGGATCGTCATATTACAATGGCACATTTGCCAGTTTGTAAATTGTGAAACTTCGCTTTTTGAATATTCGTGAAAATGACTCCTAAATATTCTACATTAGACTGCGATGGATTTGCCGCGTAGAAGTTTGTATCGACTGATACATCATAGATCAGTCGGCCCATAATGAGCCGAATTGTGGGCCGTTATAAGATTGTTACCTTACCAAAGGTGTTTGGGTGCATGCCAATGCAGGTTCAGCTTGTGTCGCAAAAATGCTTATTCATAACGAAACGTCCTGCAAATTTGGCATAATGGCATAATGGCATGCGCTTTGTCGGCACAACGCCAATTTTCAGTCGCTGTTTGGTCATCAAAGTTGACGACTGGTGCTGATGCATTGCTCGCGTAGCCACACAGTGACCACCGCTTCACTGGCAGGATCAATTATGTTTAACGGCTAGAGATTGCTCTGCATCTCAATGAGTGTTTGTTTCCATGGGATAGCCTGAGCTGACCGCCATTACGAAAGGGAATATTCATGAATTTATTTGATATTAGGTCAATTCACTTTGACGTGATTTGGCTCATGAGATGCCCTTTTGATCACCCTCATGTTTGTATGGCACAACATGAGCTTCTATGGGAAAAGGCTGGTCTGCTCATATGGAAATACTTTGGTCAGGGTACTTTGTCCACAAAAATCTTTGTGGGGAAGTTGTGGCTGTGTGTTTCGCCGATTTGCAATGCCTTGATTTACTTGTTTTATTTTGGTTTGCAATTTTCTGCAAGGCTTGCGAATGGCCATATGGACGATCGTCATCATCATCATCAAAAATCCATGGATTACATATGAACGATCTCAATAATCAGAAATTCAGCGTGTAAGTGACGAAGTGGAGTGGAACGACTGGCCTTCTCTCCTGTAGATTTGCATCATCACCGTATTTCCTGGTGGTGGCAGAGGGGCCGCGTTCTAGTAGCCCATGTTCCAAATCGATTTCTGTGTGAAAGGACGTCCGTGGCGTATTTTGTGCTTGGCTGTGCTCTCAGCGAGCATCTGATTGAGCTGTTTCATGGGCGTTTTTGATGGGGTGGATCCCGGAGGCATAGATAGAGAAGCCGGTGGCTGTGAGGAAGTAATGGTTCGTTGCGTCTGGTGCCGGCAATCGTCAAGGATATATGTGTTCGACCTTGAAACCTGACGAGGAAAAGTTGTGTGCGGGAGCTGCCTTGCGAGGCCATGTGTGAGCGCCGTGTTGGCCGGCATTGGGTGTGTCTGGTGTGCGCGCTTCCTGCGAGCACTCTGGGTTGACGGTTTGATTCTTTTGAGCCTTCAATCGACTGCCTGACCTTAACATTCATGTTGTCCAACTATCTGTGGTAGTCGAGAAAGAGCCACGTGGCCACAAAGCTCAACGGTGGTGCAGTCTCGCCATTCCAGACGTACTGTTTCCTTGCTTCTTTGCATTGTGCAACTACGTGGAACCAGTTTCTTGAAGAATTCATATTCAGCAGGCTTTGTTTTTGTGCCGTAATAACTGAACATATTTACGTTTTTACGCAAAAAAAGGCCTTTTACGTTTTTACTCGTAAAAATGAGTAAAATTACGTAAACGAATCGTAAGTACAGCTTAGTGTACATAAGGACAGTACATACAGACTTGGGGATTCCGGGGAGTGGCAGCGAGATGCGCTGAACGGGTAGAAAACGACCTGTTGTTCCATACCGTCGTTGCCCTTGCCGAGGGCGAGGTGGGCACTGTGCTGCGTGTGCTGCAGACGGCCGAGGATGGATCATTGTACGCAACTTTCATCGTGTAACCTGGCTGTCACAACGAGCCGCAAAAACGCAAAAATAGCTGCAAAAACAGCCCCTTCCGCAAATTGACGTATTTCCACTAAAAACGTAAACGTAAAAGTTAAAGCCAATCCTGATATTCAGAATACTGGGGACCTCATCAAATTTGCAATTTCACTTGGTAGCAAACAGGCCTAAGTACTACCGCATAACGCGAGGTACCTGGCAGTACTTAGGACTGTTTGCTGTCGAGTGAGAATTACAAATGATGTGAGGCACAGCACAAGGAGCTGCAGTCAGCGCCCGAAATATCCTCATAAGTATCCGAAGAGCAGACATAAGCTTGGTATTAAAAACGCTCTTCGTTCGTATTTAAATGAAAACATTGGAAAAAGACAATTTACAACAAATATGTTGCAATTTTTTCCTTCCTCCTTCCAAGATTAATTGTCGTCTATGATTTGGGGTGCTACTTCTCCATCGTACTTACATCAGTCTTCAATGAGATTTCACTCAGAGTTGTGCCTATAAGTTTGCAGCACATTATCAAGATTTCAAGTCAATCCATTAAGCATTGAGGATTTGGCAGTACTTTGTATCATCTAGATGAAATAGACCTTGATACAAAGCACTGCCAAATCCGCAATATTACGGTACACCATAGTTTTTAAACCGTCACGAATCTGACAATTC